TATAACAGACACTAGCCAGTAGCAATAGCACACCCATGATTAACAGGGTCCGTGCTGGTCAGGAGTGACCTCTCCCTCTCCCTGGGAGGCAGGGCCTGAATTAGGTGGCTTCCCTTTCAATGGCTGGAGGGGAGCCCATGGTGGGGCCAAGGTGACAGGTGGGTGTCCTGTCAGATCCTGTCAACTGAGGTCCTGAAGGGAGGATCTTGGTGAGCCTCTGGGACCAACCTCAGGAAGTCCAGACATGAACAGAGATGGCACTGGAGACACCAGAGCAGCATTGGATGGACCACCTCAGGTCTCTGAGCTTTGACCTCCAGACCTCTGACCCGGCAGAGTANACCACCTCAGGTCTCTGAGCTTTGACCTCCTGACCTCTGACCCGGCAGACTAGCTTTCCTTGCTTGGGGCTGCAGGCTCAGTCTGAATATTAATGCATTANCTCTGACCCGGCAGAGTAGCTTTCCTTGCTTGGGGCTGCAGGCTCAGTCTGAATATTAATGCATTAGATTGGACTTTACAATGCTAATTACTTGAGAGTTTAGCCAGTATGTTTCATTAGATTAGGCTCCTAGAAAATTTAACATGAAATATAATCCAATAGAAATGATCACAGAAAAGGGAGTGATAGAGACGCACAGGGGTGGTTCCTGAGAGAGCTACTGGAAGGAATTACATCCAGAGATTGCACGTGGTCAGTGGGGACAAGGCTGTCAGGATGCTGTGCAGAGGGAGACAGAGCAGAGGTGGACCCATCTCTGGTGACCTGAGATTTGGTCTCTAATGGGACCTGGAGCCTTTTTGGCCCTGTGTACAGCAGAGCTCGTTAAACAGAATCTAGAGACCTTGCCATGAGGGAGAGGGTTTGCGAGGGCTTCACAGGTCGTCGGCCTGACTTTTGCAGCTGCACCCCGGACAAGACGCCTTGGAACTAAGAACATTGGACCTTGTCAATCATGAGCATTTCCAACCACCCAGAGTCTCCTGTCTGATGTCTGAGACCCTCACCTTGGGGGCTGTCACCAGGCACAGGAGGAGACCCAGCAGGTTCATCTTCTTCTAGACCAAGGCCCTGCCTTCCCCAGAGACCTCAGCCCTGTGTGAGGAGAGAGCTGTCAGCCCCACAGCCCAGGAGGGATTTACCCTGGAGCCTGAAGGGATATTTGCATGTGGGGCAGCCTTTTCCTTATAAGTTTGGGGAGGGGGGAGTGAGGACACTGCCCCATGTCCTTTTGGTCCTGAGAACATTTCTTCCTCTCGACCCAATGCCATTGGTCAGTTATGGGAGAGTCCTTGGGTTATGAAGCTGTGTGGCTCCAGGTGAATGGATGGCCCCATCTTTCAAAGTTTAAAATTAGATGCTGGACTAGATGAATGGATCACACTCCTTTATTCTCACAGATCGTTTTGTTAAAAATATGGATGGTCCAAAGACACCCATTAAGTAGGCAGCCTTGCCATATTGCATAATCATAATTTCATATAAAATAATATTTTAATATCAGTTTTGATGTAAAAATAATTGCAAAGTAAAGAACAGACTTTCCTTGACCTGGCTGACATCTCAGGTGACAGTGCAGCTTCCGCCTCTGTCTCAGTCCAGGGAACAGGCCACGCTGGTCAGGACCTGCCTCCCATGAGTCCAGAGCAGGCCATGCAGCAGAGGCAGGGCTCAGACTCTCCTTTCCCTCCTCCCTTCTCACNGTGAGTCCAAAGCAGGCCATGCAGCAGAGGCAGGTCTCAGACTCTCCTTTCCCTCCTCTCTTCTCACCTCTCCCAGGGCAGTGCAGCCCCGCCCCACAGGTGATTCTCAGGAAGGTCTCCCAGGTCCTTGGCCACAAAGAGGCTCTGATTCTCTGGACTCCTTTCCCAGAAAGACAGGGGCACTTACTCTGCACCAACCTGGGCTCTGAGGTGGGTGTGGAGCACGTGACCTGCTCCTGGTCACAGAGAGTCATTGTGGAACCTGCCACCTTGGCCTTCACCTGAGACCCCGGGAGGAAGGTATGTGGAGGCTGATTTCCTGGGAAGGACTGTGAGCTCATGATGGCTCAGAATACAGATGGAGGGAAGGTCAAGAGCAGAGTGATTGCCTTTTCCTAAATCACTGAAGTGAGAGATTCATCTACTGAAGGAGATGTGAGGGGAGACAGCTTTGCACCTCNGGGAGAGATTCATCTACTGAAGGAGATGTGAGGGGAGACAGCTTTGCACCTCCTGGGAGAGACCTGATCCTTGGTGTTAAACACAAGGTGGTGGTGAAATTCCAGAGTCGTTCCTGAGCTCACACCTTACAGCTAAGGGACGATTTCGGTCCACACCTCTGAGGGCTGCTCCAGGCAGGACGTCTCAGTGGGACACAGAAGCATGAACCATAGAGACACAGGCAGAGGCCCCGGGCCATGACCTTCAGGGGTCGGTGCTGACTGTGTAGCAGCTGCACTGCCTCATGTGCTGTGTTTCTCCTCTGGACCCTGATGGGAACCAGTTTCCTACCCTGGGGATGGAGAAGTAGCTGCGTCATGACAGGTGTGTTTGGGTGATGATGTGGGTAATGGTTTGTGAGCAATGAGAATGTTGTTGCTGGAAACCCTGCTGTCTGCATGGGACCCGGGGAGCACTGTCTCCATGTCCCCACATGATGGGAGGGAACTGGAACAGGGGCCTGACTCAGGGCAACACTGGGGAAGCCTCCGGGGATCACGAATGGGGGATGTAACCCAGACTGAGGACACACCACCCAGGGTTCCTGCTCCATTCGGCTCTGACTCTCCTTGTTGTGTGATGGGTTCAAGTTTTCTCTCCTCACTTTCCTCTGAAATAGCCCCACACGTTCCCTAGAGTCATGAGACACTGTGGGGAGTGTGCAGGGCACCAGCCCCGTGTGTGCTGACCTCCTACCTCCCATCTCTCCTGGGCTCACTCTCTAGTTCTGTGAATCTCCTGGTGCCGTCTCCAGGGTTTTCTATATAGAAGATCATGACGTCTGCATACAGATGGGAAGAGATATATGTGTCCTGTTTCTTCTGATTTAGACACATTTTATTACTTTTTCTTTCCTAATTATTCTGAGAAGGGTGTTCAGTTCTTTGCAATAAAAGTAGTGACAGGGGTGCCCAGATCTTGGACCCGATGTTAGAATTGCTTTGAAGTTTTCTCAGTGTAGCATAATGCCAACTGTTTTCTTCTCAAATGTACTGAGTGCTACATAGAGGTAATCACTTCAAAGCCTAATTTATTCAGAATTTTTATCATAAAGTGGCTTTTGCATTTTCAAATTGCTTTTATTCTGTATCTACGTAAATGATGCCATAGTTCTATTCTACGTTCTGTGGATGAGTTGTATCACATTTACTGATTTACCCACATGGAACCATCCTTGCATTCCAGGGTGGTAATCGACTTGATCATGGAAAATGATTCTCTCAATGTCCTGTTGGGTTTCCTCGTGTACTGCTGACTTTGGAGCTGGGTGAGGGGAGGATGCTGGACTTGTTTTGATTCACACGACAGAAATATGCCTGATTCTCATGGACAGAGTGTTACTGGACATATGGGTTTAAAGCCTCTCCCAGTGAAGACCCAGGAGGAAGCCCAGGGCAGGAAGGAGACAGCTTATATCATCCCAGGATATCCCTGAGACATTGTGAACAGGAGCTACTTAGAAATAGAGACGTTACCGATGCTGCAGGCAGGGGTCACGAGACATAGGAACCTGTCATTGCAAACTGGTGGGAAGGGGATCCCCTGTTAACTACACGCACATCCCCCAGTGTCTCTGTTATGTAGGTAACAACTCCACAGGTCCAGGGATTAGCACTTGGGCACTTTGGGGTCATTGCTCTCGTGTTCTCTTCATGGGTGACCCAGGTGCATAATTCATTGGGTGCAATTTATGAATCTCTCAACTCTTACAGAGAAGAAGGGACACCCGTCCCTGGAGGAGCCACGGTGATGGTGTGTCTGTAAGAGCGGCCTTCATTCTTTTGACCAGAGCCCCTGTCTCAACCCATCACCATCATCACCATCATCATCATCATCACCATCATCACCAAGATCATCTGCTTATTTATGATCATGTTTCTCATGTTCTGTAGACCTTCTTTTGTACACACATAATGAGCCTATATCTCAATTTCTGCTCATATTTTATAATCGTTCAGTGAAATTTGGAGACAGTTTCTATTTTGTCTGTCCTGTGACTGCTGACAACTGACGGCTCATTCCTGCCTCTTGCCCGTCTGCCACACTAGGGAATCTCATGGGAAAGTTGGCGTCTTCTCTGTAGATATCCTGGGGAGATTGAAACCACACCAGCCCCTGGGAGCAGAATTCCTCCCTCCCCACCACCTCACCAAGATCAAAGCCCTGAGCCAGTCTCCTCTTCTGGTTCCATGAGAGCCCCTCTGACTTGCTGAAGGGCCTTCCCTGTGCTTCCCAGAGATTTCAACTCTGTACGTGATAAACATCCTGTCCCTTGGTTGTGGGTTTGTCTGCAGCCTGGACAGCTGCACAGAGCCGATGTGACTCCCTCTGTCTATGCCTGGTGTCACCTACACTTGGTGCTGTGAACATGACGACAGGTCAATGACTCACCACCTGGGTCTTTCTTCACTAACTTTGGGGTCACATGTCTCAGGCGCCTGCTGTGCACCCCGCACGTGTTCTGCTGCTGCCTGGCTGGGACCCTGAGCTGTGAGGGGCTGAGCTGCACTGTGGGGTCAGTAGAGCCCCCAGTTAGATTTAGGTTAGTGTTGGACAGAAAAATTGATGATTAATTGTCATTTGAGTCCAATAGTGTCTGAAAGAGACTCTCTGCCTGTTGTCCACGTATGAAAGTTTTCTCTGGTTACAACAGACTCTTATAACAGAGAGACCTCAGAGGAAAGGGCAGAATCAGGAATCCACAGAGGTTCCTGAGGGAAACTGACAGGAAGAGGAAACCAGCCAGGAAATAACCCAAACCGCCCACTGCACCTGCTCCTGGAGGGTCCTTGTGCTCAGGGACCCTGAGGAGCCGTGGTGGCCACAGCCCCTCCTGCAGGGAGGTTTGTGCCAGGCTCACACTGACCTCCCCTCACTGTGTGTCTCGCACAGAAATACACGGCCGTGTCCTCGGTGCTCAGTCGGCTCAGCTCCATGAAGGCTGTGCTGGTCGATGTGTCTCTGGTCATGGAGACTCTGCCCTGGAACTTCTGGGCGTAGTCTGTATCGCCATCGTTAGGGTAAATCCACCCCATCCACTCCAGCCCCTGTCCTGGGGCCTGTCGCACCCAGTGCATATAGTAGCTGGTGAAGGTGTACCCAGAAGCCTTGCAGGAGACCTTCACTGAGGCCCCAGGCTTCCTCACCTCAGCCCCAGGCTGTACCAGCTGCACCTGGGAGTGGACACCTGCNCAGGCTTCCTCACCTCAGCCCCAGGCTGTACCAGCTGCACCTGGGAATGGACACCTGCCGGGAAGACACAGGAGTGAGAGGAAATCCCCCTTGACTGTCCCTGGTCCCCCTCCACCTAGGGCCTGGGGGCCCTTACCTGTAGCCACGGCCACCAGGAGCAGGGTTGTCCAGGTCCAGTCCATGGTGCGGGGCTGTGCTGGGCTCTGCTGGAGGGGAGGGTGAGCTGTGGGGATGTGCTCAGGGCACAGACTCGTCCACATAAACCCAGTCTCCCTCCGCTCATTTGCATATTCATGAGGCAGAGCATGTCATAGCTGNCCACATAAACCCAGCCTTCCTCCCCTCATTTGCATATTCATGAGGCAGAGCATGTCATAGCTGAGGGCTGGACCCCACCTGAGAGAAGACGGAGACACGGTGACCATGGCCCGTGGTAGCCTGAGGGCCCAGGTCCTACTCCTTGTTGGAGGGTCCGTGTCCCTGCCAGGTNCGGAGGGTCCTTGTCCCTGCAAGTCCCTGAGCTCCGGGCAGACACAGCGCCTCCTGCTGAGCAACAACCCTCAGGACCTGCTCCTGTTTGTGAGCCCACCTTGGGTGACACGGGGACCTCCTGGACCAGCTGTGGGCTTTACACCTGGATGTCTTATTCCTGGATCAGTGTTTCCAAAATGCTGCCCCTAGTGAGTCACTAAGCCCCTCCCTGTGCCAGTCCCTACAATTCAGATGAGCAGAAGCCACAGGTCCACGAGCTTTGTGGGTGGTTCTTAGGGCTCATCAGTGGACAGACCTGCTCCTGGGAAACACGATATTTACGGGCAAATCATCAGTCCCTGCCCATCTGTCAGGCTGTATTGATATTTCCCAGGAAGACCAGGCCCTCGGAGGAAACCCCTGCCCAGCTGCCCTGCACCTGCTCCTGGGGCAGCAGCCCCGGGCTCCTGGGTCCTGAGCGCCCCCTGCTGCCCAGCCCATGCTCTGAGGGGGGTCCTGCTGGGCTCCCAGGGCACTGACCTCTCAGCATCTCTAGTCCAGGAGTGAAGGCTGCGCCCGACTCAGAATGTTCTCTCGGGGACCCCACATGCTTTTGACATCTCTGGACAGAGGGACCTGGCCTCCCGGATCCCAATGGCTCTGCCTGGAGAACCCAAGACAGGGCTTTATGGAGCCAACAGGGACCCCTCCCTGGACCTGCCCGATGCACGGACACAGCCGACCCTCCTCTGAGTCCAGAAGCTGTCGGGGGCTCTGGGGCCTCTTATGTCCTCAGGTTCCTCTGGCTGAAGGTCCCATCTAAATATCCCCGAGTGTGGCTCAAATTTCACTGCTGTGATTCTATTATTCAATAAATTAGACAGACACTCTGTGGAGGATTTTCACCATAATGACCCTAAATGTCCCTTCTCCCCTGTACCCAGCACATGGGCGGGGACCCCACACTGACCCTGACCTAGTGTGTGACCAGCTTCCTCAAAGAGAGGANACCCCACTCTGACCCTGACCTAGTGTGTGACCAGCTTCCTCAAAGAGAGGAAAGCAAACACCCTGGACGTGAAGACTGGAGAGAGCCCGCCCTGTGGTTTCCTGTTCTCCCAGCACCTGGGACCTGCAGACGCCACAGGAGAAGGGTCCTGTCTGGTCCTGGGAGGGTCAGACCCAGGGGCCCATGTCCAGTCCCTGCAGCCACACTGACCCGCCATGTGGGGAGGGTCACACAGGTCTACACCCTCTGGTGCCCATTGTGAGAGCACAGCCCTGAGCCCTGAGGGCAGGACCATGGAGGACACTGGACAGGGGTCCTCTCAGGAGCAAAACAGGTGTCGATGCAAGAACNGCAGTCCCTGCAGCCACACTGACCTGCCATGTGGGGAGGGTCACACAGGTCTACACCCTCTGGTGCCCATTGTGAGAGCACAGCCCTGAGCCCTGAGGGCAGGACCATGGAGGACACTGGACAGGGGTCCTCTCAGGAGCAAAACAGGTGTCGATGCAAGAACAGGGCCCTGAGAGTGGGCCTCGGTCATCACTGTCCCTGTGGAGCAGCATCAGGGTTGTCTCCACAGTGTCTCCTGATGTTCTGACTGCCTCCCTTTTGTCCTGATCACCCCCTGGTTGTCCCTGGTGTCCCCCTGTTGTCTTGAGGGGACCCTGAAGGTATCGATGTCCTCTGGTGAATCCTGAGTGCCCCACGGATTTTGTGAGAAGCACCTGAATGACCTGAGCACCCCCTGATGTCCTGGGGGCCCCTGGAAAACCCCACCCCAGACGCAGAAATGGACAAAGCTGTCAACAGGCTCATGAGTCCACCTGAATCCTCAGGAATCCACGTCGAAAACCCAAGAGGAAACCTCCTCACTCCTGGTAGGACGGCTACTACGTGAGAAACAAACCAGAGAAAGCAGGTCCCGTGCTGGGGAGCGAGGGGAGGAAGGAGCCCTTGCACCCTCCTGATGGGAAGGTGACGTCCTTCAGCTGCATGGGAAACGGCACGTTGGTCCCTCCAGAAATGGAAGGAGAAGCCTGTTCGACTGAGCAACCAGCCCTGGTGTCCCTGCAAGTGACCAAGACGGAGTGTGAAGAGGTGCTGCCCTGCCCACTCACTGGGCAGGAATCAGTCGCCCAGACGGGAAGCCACCCAACGTCCATCACGGATGAAGGACAACCGAGTCCTAAGGCAGGACTTTGGGGTGTTTGTAGCTTCTAACACGAAGATGTGAGTAATATTTTGATATATTTTTGTGTGAGAAGAATTCATTGTTCTGGAGGAAACACTTCTGGTGGGACGACTGAGGGGCATGTGAAGGACACGTTTAATTTCTAAGAAGCTGCGACTCGGGATGTGAGCAGAGAGAACAGGACCTGCAGGGGCTGGAGCGGGAGGGTCCCCGTCACGGCGGATGTGTCCCCTGAAACAGCAAGGTCACCTGCTCGCCTGTCGTCTGCAGGGAGAACATGAGGAATCAGAGCCCCAGGGGAAGAGCAGGACCCGGCCTGGGTGCAGCTGAGGGACCTGAGGGGAAATCCCTGCTCCCTACAGGCAGCCCCTCCGCCCTCCCTCTGCCCCTGCTCCTGGGCTGTTCTCTGGTCAGTGTGTCCTGAGGGCCCTGGTGGCCGCAGCCCCTCCTGCAGGGAGGTTGGTGTGTGGCTCACACGGACCACCCCTCACTGTGTCCCTCACACAGTAATACATGGCCGAGTCCTCAGATTTCATGTTGGTCATTTTAAGAGAGACTGTGCCTGTAGGGTTGTCCCTGGAGATTGTGAGTCTTCCTTGGACTGAGGGTGGAAACCACTGGGGTGTTCCACTGGGTTGACTCACTCCTGCCACCCACTCCAGCCCCTTCCCTGGAGCCTGGCAGACCCAGTTCATGCTGTAGTTTTTGAAGGTGAATTCAGAGGCTTTGCAGGAGAGGCTCAGAGACCCCCTGGGCTGCACCAAGCCTCCCCCAGACTCCACCAGCTGGACCTGGCACAGGCCACCTGCAAACACAGAGACACAGACTGAGAACTGCCCGTGTGGCCCAGTCCCCCTGAGCCTCCTGCACAGGGACACACCTTGGACAGTGATGAGAAGGGCAGCCCAGCTGAGTGCAGACCCCATGGTGTGGACACGGAGGAGGTTCTCACAGGTGAGGGCTCCTGTCCAGGACCTGCAGGTACAGGAGCTGGGCAGCTTTTCCTGGGCAGGGCAGGGGCCACATTTGCATGTCTTTCCCTGGGACCTGTCTGAGCTGCCAGCAGGGCTCCTCCCTCCCCATTTAAATTTGGGGATCGCAGGTGGACAACGATGCCTGGGCCCGGGCTCAGGGGCACAGGGCTGGTCTGATCTTTCTAGTCGCTTGTCTGTGATTCCTGAGAGACACACTCCACGAGCATGGAAGGTGGGATTTTAAGGTTCTCCAGTGAAGGTTGCACCTAAAATCCCCCAGGAGACGTCCTGGGACAGGTCTGTGGGGATGTCAGTGCCCCCTCGTGGCCGCTGTGAGCCCCAAGTCTGACGCTCTGGTGTCTGAACCAGCTTCCTGAGACAAGGCAGGTGTGTCTGCCACAGGGATGTCATTCCTGGCGGTCTGACACGGTGGCAGCCCCAGTCCTGCCTCCTGCACACTGGAGATTCTCTGCAAGGACAGGCTGGCCTCAGGGCTCCCACCTGGGGTCAGGAGGAGCATAACCATCCTCAGTGCCAGGGCCCTAGAGCCAGGTCCTCAGCCTGCAGGCAGGAGGAGCCTTCCCCCGACCTCTTTTCTCAGTCTAGTGTTGTCAGTGATGTTGGGGTTCAGAGGGAGGTTACTGACCATGGTTCCCAGCTTAGATGTTCCCACAAGAAAGGGACCTTCAACCCTGACAGGAGACCCTCCCTCCCAGCCTCCCCCTGTCCTTTCCCTGAGGACGGTCACTGTGCTCAGAGGTGCTGGGCTCTCCCCAGAACATTCCTGTCCTTAATGTAATGAACACATTCTCCCATCCGACACATACTATGGAAATGCACTCTCTGCGCAGGCTTGTCATTTAATCCCCTTGATGGGACACTTGGTGTCACAAATGTTTTTACTTTTATTCAAGTTCAATTCATCACTATTTTCTTCCATGGGTCATATTTTGGGTGTTTTTACAGCAAACACCCGAGAAAGTGCTGAGTCCCACTGTCCAGGCTGATTTTCTGCAGGAGCCACAGGGACTGGAGCAAGTTCTGGGACCAGAGTGGAAGCTGCTGGGAAACGTCCCATAGATCTAGATCTGACTTTGGAGCTGGGTGAGGGGAGGATGCTGGACTTGTTTTGATCACATGACAGAAATATGCCTGATTCTCATGGACAGAGTGTTACTGGACATATGGGTTTAGAGCCTCTTCCAGTGAAGACCCAGAAGGAAGCCCAGGGTAGGATGGAGACAGCTTATATCATCCCAGGAAATCCCTGAGTAATTCTGAACAGGAGCTGCTTAGAAATAGAGACATTACCGATGCTGCAGGCAGGGATCCAGAGACATAAGGAACCTGTCATTGCAAACTGGTGGGAAGGGGATCACCTGTTACCTACAAGCACATCCTCACAGTGTCTCTGTCTACAACGTGACAACTCCACAGGACTAGAAGATTTGCACTTGGACTCCGTGTGTTTATTACTCACATGATCTTTCATGGATTATCCAGCTGCATAATTCAATGGGGTCCCATAAATGAATC